TGTCAAAATGCCCTGTTTTTTCCGCCCTCACCCTGCAGCCCTTACTAAACTTAAACTTGTTCACGCTAGAAGTGAGGCGATTAAGAGGGGACATGATTTTGATGTACAAAATGTTTTGTGGTGATGGCAACATCAGCAATAAACTTTTTCAGTAAACTCTGTAACAAAGACTAGAGGTCACCACCTAAAATTGGTGGAGAAAAGATTTAACCACAAGGGGCGTAGGGGTTTCTTTTCAGTTAGAGTGGTTAAAGTCTGAAACTCGCTGCCAAAAGCAGTGGCATCAGCAGAGAGTATTGAATCATTCAAATAAAAAAGTGATAAAGTAAAAAATTATCAAATAAAAAAAATTATAAAAAAGTTCTATACAATAAAATAAATAGAAATTTAAAAAAGTAAAAAGAAAATACATTTAAAAAAAGTAAACAAATAATAAAGGACAAATGTAAAAAACTGCTGCGAATAAACGCATGCATAGGGCATGTGTGTGTGCATTGAGTGCTGCCCCCATTCCACTGTGTGCCATAGTGTGGTAGCTGGACAGCAGCACTCTCTAACATGCACAATATGCATTAAAGGGTAAGTTCACTTTCCCAAGTAATTTGGGAAATTGGAATTACCCAGTCAAATCTTGCCCCCTCTCCCCACCCCCGTGCTATACTTACCTTGTGGCGAACAGTCCTTCCCCTCCGCCAATACGGGTGTACTATCTGTTCCCCTATACTGCTGACCAGTGCAGCCCTGCGCCATGGATTTTGAATTCAACTCAACTGACCAATAAGAAGCACTTCTTAGCACGGTTCAATACGGTTTTGTTATTTTTTGGTATCAGGACATGTAGATTGTCATGAGGGACAAGTAGATTTTTCAAAATTTCCACAACCCTGGGCCATTTAAATTTTTGTAGGAAGTTTGGCTGCCTGAGGACCTCAGGCAGCTGTCTTTGATAGTGTTGGTCAGCTGCACATTGCCTCCTCCTCCTTCCTGGAACAGCACAGGACAGCCCCACACCCACCAGCACCGTCCTGGAGCCCGGCACAAGCCCAGATCCCACCCGTTCAGCTCTAGAGAGCCCTGCAGTCGCATGCAGAGCCCTGGAGAGCCTGGCACCCACCCACAAAGCCCTGGAGAGACCTACTCGTATCCCTGGTGAGACCTGCATGCAACCCTGCTGAGATCTGCATGCAACCCCGCTGAGACCCAAATACAGCCCTACTGAGACCCAAACGCAGCCCTGGTTAGAAACTTTTGATGGATTTGAGGAACCTGGCTTTAGGGCAGCAGACAGAGTAAATCTGGCTCTGCTTATCCCTGCATCACCTGGAAATCCAGCACTGTGTGTAGGATCTGGCTTGTAGCAAGATGTGATATTTATACGAAGCAGCTATCCACACACGGTATACATATTATTAGGGCTATCTTAGTTAGCTAGTGCAGTATCCAAAAACCTTTGCCTGGAGTTTAGTTTTAAGAGATGAGTGCCTCCAAGTCCTACACTAATCTGTGCCTATGCACCTTACCAGCAGCACTTACTATGCTTTACCTATCACAGCTAAGCACATTGTCAATATAGCTGCTGGGAACCCAACTTTTAATAGTGAGGGGGCTTGCTTATTAAATTTCCCCCTTATTGCCCCTTTTAAACCATCTAAGCAATGTTTAAAAGACAGAAAGTGAATTATTGGTAGTTGGTTGATATGGAAGTGAAACCTTGCATTAGATTGTTGTATCGGCGAACCACGAATGAGCTGGGTTCACCTCAAACCCATGCTTGACCAGAACCAGAATCTCATCCTTACTGATGTATATGTCTAGGTGTATATTTGGTGACACATTATGGTGATTACTAACCTTGGAATATGCATTTCCACATAGTTCTTAGGAACAAATCCTTCGACGCCCCTAAGTTCTGCCTTAAACCAGTTATCGTCTGTACCAAGAATCTGTGGAAAGCAAAAAGAAAAAATTAGCCAACATATTTGTATTTGGCATCCTATTGTATAGCATGACAAATGTATGCCATCAAGGCTGATGAAACTAGGTTTTTCCACAACAAAGAATCAATTAAGGTGAGAGTTTACACAAACATTGCCCATTGCTTTGGAAGTATCAGACAACAGCTGGCCTCTTATAAGGAACAGCAAACATTTTCCAGAAATACTTGTTGGAGGAAAAGGTTATTAAATGATTTGAAAATGTACAACTAACATCCTAGAGTTCTCCTTTTTGATGGGTGTTCCTGCGCATTCATTGGTGTTTATATCCCATGATTTCCTTGGATCCCCATTGATTTCAATAGGTGCCGCCTGTGCGACAAACGTTTGAAAATCACACATGTAGCAAAATCTGCTACACGCTTCCCACTTTTTTCTTGCAGCTTTGCGTGGGAAAAATGTGTTTCCTTGTAATGACACCGCAAGCGGGTTCTGCAAAGCGTGCGTTTTCCCCCGTGTTTGCGGCGTGTTCACATAACGGGGACAGGCTGAGACGCTTTGTGATGCCTGCAGGTCCTCCTCTGTGCCACACTCTTCTGCTACTACATCCGACCCTTCTCTGGACCCCTCTGGGGTGATTACATTTACCCTTCCTGATTTACAATCATTCTTCTGTTACTAGAAAGGTTGCCTAGTCCAGCTCACTTTCCTAGGGGAAAAGCTCTTTGGGGCTTTCATGGATAAGATAATTAAAAACTCCACCAGTTGGAAGAACACTCACCTTCCACAGACCTGCAAGTCAAAGTCTTCACTGTGAAGAGGTGACCTCTAAATCCTATTGCTTCTCCAGGTCTAAGACCCAAACCAGGTTAAGTAGCCCTGGGGTGCCAAGTCCTCTAAAATTTCCACAGGGGTTGCATTCATAAACCATTAAGGCAGCACCAGAAGGTTTCAGCTCAATAGTTACATTGCATCTGGACAGAAAGTTTGGTCCTGGCTGGAGAACAAGCAGTCAGACTTCCTGAGTTATCAAAGCCTTGAAAAATGGTATTTCCACTAGAAATGTTTTTATCAGATCTAATAGAAAGGGAAACACTGGGTAAAGATATGATGGCATCCTGTCATAAATCATTTTTTTCCCCCCACTAAAACCTTTCAGTCATATGCTGCAGGGGATTGATCCAGAAAGAATCCCCACGATCCTGATAGCTCAGGACTGGCTAAGTAGATTAGTCCTATTACTATGTTTTGTTTTGTCTGTTCATGGCCCCTCTGTGACAGCTACATGTTGAGTAGACCTTTTGTTCCACAGTTTGATCATTCCTCCTGCTTCTTAGTTGCTGGCTGTAATATCATGGCTATTAAAGACCGAGCCTCTCGAAGACGGTGATCTCTCTGCCATGCTGCTCTCCTGCAAGCTCTTTTCTTGCAAGATGTATCATCGCACATGGCTGGCTTATTTTTGAGTGTTCAAGTCCTTTAAAGCTAACCGTTGGACTTGTTTAGTCAATCTGGTTCTGACTTTTTTCAGTCAGGCATGGATCAGGAGATTATTGTAGAATCTGTTCCGACTGCCCTTGGCTTCTCAATTTTTTGTTTGTACTTTTATTCAGGGAATCAATCATTTGCTCTCCCCTGTTAAGACCCTTTTGGTTCTATGGGAAATTAACTTGGCACTATCTGTGCTTCAAAGACATCTCTTTGCAATGGGATAAAACTAATTTCCCAGAAGTTTTAGGCGGCGTACTTCCTTGTTGTCATCACTTCAGCTAGGCAGGCTTGGCTTTTAGGGCCATGTCACACTTGCAATTCTCTTGCTGGTGGCATCTAGCCTGTAACAGGATTGCTTTATACAGGGCACATAAATACTCATCTGCTTCCATGGTGCCACTCCCAGGCTGGCCAGATGCATCAGGCATCCAGCTCCCAATTGTGCAAAGTTTCTACCTGGTCCTCAGTTTACGTGTTTGCCAAATTTTATTGTGATGAGCAAGACCTAGCTCCCTCACTGGTGAGTGACATTGTGTAGTAATTTCATAAGCTAGAGAGGACACTTTGTTCTTCTGGACAGCAAGGAAGCGACATCATGGAAGCAAGTGAATATTTTCTCTGCAGTAGTTCATGAACCTGTCACAGTTTAATTGTGTGGGCATAACTGCATTGGCAGACCTAAGGCCCTGCAAGCAGCAGTATGACCTACAGTGGCTTGCAAAAATATATACCCCCCCTTGGCATTTTTCCTATTTTGTTGCATTATCACCTGAAATTAACATTGTTTTTTATTGTTTTTTATTTGGATTACATGTAATGGACATAAACAAAATAGTCCAAAATGGTGAAGTGAAATCAAGAAAATAACTTGTTGTAAAAAGACCCCTTTTCTGAAAGGCCCGAGAGGCACCATGAAGACCGAGGAGCTCTCCAAACAGGTCAGGGACAAACTTGTGGAGAAGTACAGATCAGAGTTGGGTTATAAGTTGGGTTATAAAAAATATCTGAAACTTTGAATGTCCCACAGAGCACCATTAAATCCATTATTAAAAAATGGAAAGCCTCCTGTGACAGCTGTTAGGATGGAGACCGAGGTACAAACACTCAGTGATCAGTGATCGCTGAGTGTTTGTACATAATTGAGGACATAGTATGTTTACTATATCCTCAATTATGAATGAACGGGAAGTGATCTACATCCCCTCCTGTTCATTCATGAATGAGGATATAGTAAACACACTATATCCACATGTTATGAATTAACAGGAACACTTAGTATAGATGATTCCTGTTCATTTATAACAGGGGCTGCAGAAAAAGAGATTGTGTTCTCAATCTCTTTTTCTATTTTAAAAGGGAAATATCAGGGGTCTGTTTAGACCCCTAATATTTTCCTGAAGCACCTAAAAAGTAAAGTAAAAAATAAAACATATTTAATAATAAATATAACAAAAATAAAAGTTTATAAAAAATAAATAAAAATAAAATATTTTTAAAAATGTGGAAAAGTTAGAAAAAAAAAACATTTTCCGTTTCGGCCCGACATTTATTTTCATTTCGGTTTCGTTTTTAAAATTTTCATTTCAATGCACCTTTAATTGGTGCAGATATACTGAATGTTAGCTTTCTTACTTACCCCACTTAGTATGACTCAACTTTTACTTTGACTAAACTGAATCCGTTGTGACACAACATTACACAACCCCTAAAACCCTTTTACTCAGATCTACAGTTCCTAACATCATTCTTCTCTATCTGGCTAACTCTGTTGCACTACACAAAAGGAGCAATACATTTGAAAACACTGACCATTTATGAACTCCTATATCATATCAATATCACAGTTTCCCCAGTCCATTCTTTCTTATTACCAGAAATCCAGTAGAAACATCATCTTATTCCCCTCCATAGCTTTTCTTCCCCTTCCCCCTTTCTCCTTACTCCCCTTTTACACTAGTTAACTACTATGCTCCCAACACACATTAAGACCCCTTCTTCTGTCATCTTCTTGAGAAGTCATATCTACCCATTGAAAAGGCACATTTCTTTTGATGGGTGACACCAATATTGTTCTAAATACAAAATTAGATAAACCCAGCCCCAATCTCTCCCAAAATGAAAGGAGAAGTCATTGAGGGGCGGTATATTTCCCTTGCTTTCTATCCTATGTACAGTAATAGCGGAACTCAGACCAGGTTTTCGGGTTGACTTTGGGTCTGAATAATCCAGCTTGGGTTTTGTGTCTCTCACCTGGATTGTTAATTGTTTAATGATTGCTTATCCAGGTGAGATAAAAGGGGGAAGGCTGAAGCAGTATGTTGCTCTGGCCTGGGATTCAGAGAGCATTCTGAGAGCTTGACAAGTTGGATGGTTGTGAGTAGAAGGTTGCTGAAAGTCCTTTTTGTTTTGTGAGGTGACTGAGATAAGCTCACCCCCTGGTAGATAGGAAACCTGCCTGTTTAGTCAGCCTGAAAGGCAAGGATTTGTTTTCTGTTTTATTGCAACCTTTTAAATAAAAACACTGACTGCAAGTCAGATAAACGAAGGACTTTGCTGCCTGGACTGCCTTTTTCCCCAGGGAAGGTGATCCCCCCATTTGAGCTATACCCCACAATACACAGACACCTGGAAGGACTGGGGTTCCCCAACTTTCATAGATATTTCAAGACTGCACAAGTAACTCCACTAATATCTCTGTTTATCCCCTAGGAAACGCATATATGGGTAGAGCTAGAAGCCTGTAAGTATTTCCCTGTTAACATCCAAGCCCTTCCCTAGCTCCCATCTGATTCATAACCTAAATCCAATGGCCTTTAATCCGACACAACCTGACTATTTGGGGACAACACCGTATATTATAGTAAACCCATATCACCACATCTCTCTTTATGTCCCTCATCAGAAAACCAGTCCTGTCCTGGAATTGCCTGGGGCCTTTGCTTGGTGTAAAGCTCACAGCATCACATTTGCATGCTCCTTCACTAAAGGAAACTCCATTTATAACTGGTCTGAAAATAAAAGGCAAATTCTAAAGGTCCTAACCCTGAAATCTTTACGTATATCCTGATCTGACATTGGATTTCCCAATTAATAGGGTTGAGTGTAAGGACAACCATAGAAGAGAAGGTACGCGTGCACCAATGCAGAGAATAAGGGTTATTTCCAGCTTGTTGCATGTGTGCTGATGTATGCAAAAGTTTGCTAATTCCCATGCTCAGGCTAATTCCCGTGAGCATGCTAATCCACGAGGGCATGTTGTGCTGATATGTGTGCATGCAGGCACACGGATGCACATGCCTCATAACAGGCATCACAACAGATGGCTTATTTAGGGAACAGTGCTGCGATAGGAAGTTGCAGGATGGTCTTCAGCTGTTACCCTGCGACTTGACCCTTAACCTGTTTCTGATTTGGTTCCTGTTACTGACACGGCTTTGCCCTTGGATTTCTATCTGCTCTTCCTTCCCGTTATTGGCCTTGGCCATATCCATATTATAGTTTATCTCTGCTAAGC